AGTACCTAAAGGTTACTCCGTGTGGCTATAAACGGCTGTTAAATGGAATGATGAATTGTTGAAGGATTTTGAAAACGGAAAAAATGATAGTCATGCCGGCCCAGCATCATCAACGTTGAAAAATGCCCCGGCACAAAGTGGTTAAACACAAAGAATCCTGTTACTGAAGATACAGTTCTTATAGTTGGATTAAAAATTAACATGGCCCAGTTTGGCAGTATTTTTCAGTACAATTTATGCTACTCCAGGGTTTGTTTTAAAACATAATGTAACAAGTAGACAAAGGGTACACCTCATAGTTTGATCCACGTGTCATTGTTTTATAACTCTTTCTGGCAGACTCGAAAGCTGTTGAGACTCATGTCAACCCATCTTCCAGCCAATTTAAGGAACAATCTAAGCAAAGCTGTCACTAGAAGTGTCACCAAAAGCAGGTACTGAGGCTGACAAAAACCCAAAAAAATTGAGGGCTGGAGGATGTTTGAAACATTTGGGTAAAAAGAAATCTGCATCTCAGGCAATACAGGCATTTCACAATAGTGCGCCTCCATGAGTTTGCAATGCATTGGCCAATCACAGTGTACGAATCTGTCAGCCCAATATGCGTTTGAGAAGGGTTAACGTATTCCCTGCAAACTTGTGGAGGCACACTAGTGTAAATCGCCCAAATTAATGATTTGAATGTCTTCCATGTATACAACCTTAACTTTGGGGCTCTGTAAAGAGAGATTTTGATTCTCTTCTGCAGTCATCATGACTTGACAAAACTCCTGCAATCCATGTTCGGCAGAGATGAAGGCTTAACCACTGACCATGGAAAACTGATCCACCTCGTGAAGGGCTATGAGCAGCTACATCAGGCAAACTTACTGTCTGCAGCAACAACAGGCCATGTATAAATTCTTGATATCACCTCTTATTTTATATGATATGACATATGTAGTTTAATATGAATATTGCCATCCTGAATGTTGAATGTCACACTTTCTTGGATTTGAATATTACTGATTGGATATTACTGATTAAAGTAACCATGGACCTTGAATTAAAATGACCTCATCAGTAACACAAATAATACACTCTTTCGGACATGTACATACATGTACTTCCATCTGTAAAGTAAACAAGGCTTTGTTGCATTGTTATCACATACTCAGTTCCCATGGAAAGACCATATACACTGTGGAATTACTTTTAGGTGTTCTGCACCATACATGTACGTTAAGCATGCAAAGGTCAGCCAAAGAAGATGTGCTTGACTAAAGGGTTTTGCTCTTTCTTGTTTAAATATGTACATGGAGCCCACATAGAAAGTTTCTTAAAAGAGACATACATGTATGAATTTATTAAAGGTGCAGCGTCACTTCTGTGTTTACCTGTCTACCTTTGGTCGTTGACTAATTCTGCTTCAATTGAGTGTGCCATGTTCTACAGTTCTTGTATATTGTAATACAGTCATACAAAAGCCACTAATTATTTGGCTAGATAAAGAAAGCACAATCTTAATTTTGTCCTTCCTTAAAAATCTTAATAGTAATTCAGTTTAATAACTAACATGATGTAAACTATTCTCAAGTTTCGAGAAACCTTATTTTTTTAAAAGTATTTTTGAAATGGGTTGGGATCATTCAGTTCGTTTAGTATATCTAAAGTATTCCATTTCAACAAGGAAGTGGTAGTTCTTACTTAGTGAAGCTAATGAAGTCTTGTCTAATCATTACGTTTTATTCCATTTCAACAAGGAGATGGTAGTTCTTACTTAGTGAAGCCAACAGAGTCTTGTCTAATCATTACTCTCCATTCCATTTCAACAAGGAGATGGTACTGGGTAGTTCTTACTTAGTGAAGCTAATGAAGTCTTGTCTAATCATTACGTTTTATTCCATTTCAACAAGGAGATGGTAGTTCTTACTTTAAGCTAATGGAGTCTTCTCTAATCATGTGGTATTCCATTTCGACAAGGAGGTGGTACTGGGTAGTTCTTACTTAAAGAAGCTAATGGAGTCTTCTCCATACATTTCAGTCTATTTCATTTCTACAGGAAGGTTCCATTTCATGCCCCCTGCAGCTAATAGAAGTTTAGGGAGGGGGAGTTTATTTCCATCCATTCCGTTTCTAGAAGACAGTGGTAGGTCTTTCCACATATAGTTAATGATGTTTTATCTGTTCATTTCCACTGACTCAATTTGTATAGGGAAGTGGCAGTTCTTTTGCGGTGAAGCTTTTCATCACTGTGTTTGACTCTCTCACTACATCAGACGAGGCCGGCAAACTACTGCAGGCTAACTTGACCCCATTGTCTGTAGAGCTAGCAGAAAGTCTGCTTGACTTGGCATTCCTGCTTGGGATTGAGGTTGGTTCTGGAATTTGTTTGATTTCTTAGCATTGTTATCATTTAATAAATTAATACACTAGAATTAGTTAAAACAAGTAAGCTTGAAATGTTTACACCATTGTGTAAGCAAAATGATTAACAGAATACAAAAAGCCAGCAGTTTTTGCTGTACAAACTAATGTTATGTAACATCTTAGTGTTGGTCATGAATATAATACGCTTATTACTATAAAAACCAAAAATTTAGCCAAATACTGTGTCAACGTGCAGAACATAAATTGTAAATGATGTTAATCGAGACACAAAGGTGCATTTTAAAGGTTTGCATTCACACTGCAGTGATCCTTCAATTATGAAAAGGCCAGTGAAACGAGTAAAAACTTACATGTACACGAACCAACAGGTGTTCCAACCCTTAATTTTGAGCAAAGAAGTAATAATAATAATAATACATTTCTTATATAGCGCATCACATAGCACATCTCGATGCGCTTCACAGTAATATTATGAAATAAAGCAATTAATGAAATAGGCGAGTTTTTAAGTAGCAAAAGTCTTACAGAATCTCATGACGTACTTCGTAAAGGGACGTAAATGAAACATAGAGATCATTGTTAAACTAACTAGAATCTGAAGTATGTGATGAGATTCTGTAGCTACACCTAGAGCTGCTTCATATGAAGCCCTTTATGGGTCACTTGAGATCTTAAATGGCTGCTTCTAAGCTGGAAATATAGCAAAGGGATTGAAACTTGCCAGCAACTTATCCATTAAAATTATTTTACTGAATCTATCACAGGCTAAAATGCTTGTATCCTGCCTACTTGACAAGACTGCACTCTTTAGTGGACGAAGTTCTACCTCCAAAGGTGCTGTCTTCTACACCACATTTAAGACCAAACTAAATGGTGAGATGGCAGTACAAGCACAGAAGGTGATTCCACTGCTGGTTAGAGAAGGTGGTAAAGATGTGACTGTCGTGAGCAGTGTACTCAATGGACTGTTGGATTACTTAACAAGTAGTCGTGAAGTCAGGAGAACGTAAGCTTTTACAAATTAAAATAGTCTACATTGACATAAATCAGCCTTTTGCAAGTTAAATTCAGAATAAAATCTGGTACACTGAGTTCTGTAAATTTATGTGAATGTAACAATTTGAATTGTCCAATTATCCTTTAAACACGGTACACTGAACTCAACACATACAATATTTTGGTAATGTTGCTTGACACAGTGACCTGGATTTCTTTATTACAGATCACTCAACCACCATATTAATTCTTTTAACAAAGCGAGATCTATTGACAATCTTTAACTAAGATACATTCTTGACACAGTTGTCATATCAGTCAAAATCAGTCAAATTTCCCATATGTGTCTGTGTACTGGGGGAAATCAAGTGGAGGGCATTTTTGACTGTTTTTGACTGTTAAAACTGAAGGAGGGTTTTAATAATTTAAGGATAGTATAAGTCCCAATTGTAACAGAATCGTACTGTATGTAATTGACAGTGCATGAACTCATTGTACTGTTGGTTGCCAGATATCAAAACCCAAGGGGAAAAAAGAAAACGTATGCCTGACCCAAGCGAACCAGCTGCAGTCAGGCTAGCAAACAACAAGGTTGAACAGATCCTAAAAAATCAACGCAATTTTGGAATGGAGGTCACAGTGGCGTGCAAGCGTGAAGGCCTCAACCAGGCCAGACCCAGTCTTTATATACCCTCTCTTGACCACTCGACCGTTAATTTTATATAACAAGGATAAATTCAATTCATTCTAATTCACCATGGCGCTCAACCGAATGATTAGACATTTCGATTCCAGAGATGGTGGTCACTATGCAAAAGCTTGCCCCTAACCATGGAGTTCATGTATAGCAACAGTGTCTTTGGTCTGGGCAATTAAAATTGTCATGTTTATATGCAATCAGATACTGGTAATTCAGGGTACCAGATTAAAGTCGCAAAAGGTTTCGTATTCATGGTGACAGACAACTAAGTTGGAAAGCTTGAGGTAGCACCATGCAAGGATACGATCTCTTTTGTGAGTCTGTATGGTTCTGAAAAGAACTGTGAGGAACTCAACATTTCAGACAGTATGCTCTGTCCATCATCAGGAGACTGAAGAGATGCCGACAGAGAGTGGGGCTTATAAGCTGACTGGGAGCACTGGAGTGTGACGGATCCTTCTGTGTAGTCAGATGGAACAAGGATGCAGCTGGTGGATCCACCTGGGTACTGATGCATGTCAGTTTGGTCATGGGCTGTGGCGGGGAAGGTTGCCTGGGTATAGGAGACCCATGGGCCCATAGTCCCCCTTCCTGCCATGGGCTTTGTGTTCTTTGATCCTGGTAGGGAGGTCCCTACCAGTCTCTCTGATGAACTCTTTGCCGCACTGGCAGGGGATCTTGTACACACCTGATCGACGTGTGGATCGTGCCTGTCCTTATGGGAAGTCAGTATCCCATGGATCTTGAGGGGAGCTGTATGGAACACCTTGATGTTGTGCTTGCTCAGGATATGCTGGATGTGGTGGGAGGTGCGTCCTAGGTAGGGGAGAGTGGCAGAACTAGGGGCCTTATCTAGTTGGCTTTGGGTATAGGGGACCCTATGGCCGGGAGGGGGACTTAATCTTGGGTCTCGAGTCTTGATCTGCTTGGGCTGATATCCGTTGCATTGGAGTGCCGTGGAGATGTGGTGGAGTTCCTTGTGTAGGTGCTCTTGGTCGCAGATCTTGTAGGCTCGGCGGATGATGACGCCTGCCAGTGTGGCAAAGTGTACATTGGAGAGACTGGTAGGGACCTCCCTACCAGGATCAAGGAACACAAAGCCCATGGCAGGAAGGGGGACTATGAGAAGTCAGCCATTATCAAGCATTCCCACGCCGAAGACCACACCATCAACTGGGAAGAAGCTCACCTCATCTCTTGCATTGAACAGTGGTACCCAAGATGCATTAGAGAAGCCCTGGAAATCTCCAAACACCCCACTGTGCCTCAAGACATCAGCTTCTCCACCAGCGACATCTGGCAGCCCCTGCTCACCTCCCGGTCTGATGGGTCCTCTATACCCTAGGCCCCCCCCCGCCCATGGATTTCCTATACCCAGGCAACCTCCCCGTCACAGCCCATGACCAACTTACATGCATCAGTACCCAGGTGGATCCACCAGCTGCATCCTTGTTCCATCTGACTACACAGAAGGATCCGTCACACTCCAGTGCTCCCAGTCAGCTTATAAGCCCCACTCTCTGTCAGCATCTCTTCAGGCTTCTGACGACGGACAGAGCATACTGTCCGAAATGTTGAGTTCCTCACGGTTCTTTTCAGAACCATACAGACTCACAAAAGAGATTGTATCTTTGCATGGTGATATCGCAAGCTTTCCAACTTAAAAGGTTTCTTGGCGAAGGGTCACTGTAATTATGTTGTCTGTGTATGTTTTGAAACATCATTCCAACAACTTGGATGTTAAACTTGCACTGACGCATTCCATGTCTGATGAACATTTTTTTTAAAGATTGAAGTGTTTTGTTTAAATTCTGACTATAGGCATGGAATGTCAGTGCACAGTGCCATTCTTACTCAGTGGGATATTCTTATGGGTGGGTTGAAGAAAGGTTGTTCAACTGACTTACAGAGCTTTGCCTTGTTGATGCTGAGGAAACTACTTCAGATTGATGCAAAGGTAAGATAAAACAAGGAAGCCAATTCCTTTTAGCTGAAAGTTTTAACAGAAATCTATGACTAGATTGCTAAGTTGATAGAATGCCATTTTAAAGTGTAATTTTTTTAGAATTTTTTTAACAACTTATGATTCCACTATACATGTATATTGGGCAAATTAAGACTGCTATTATTGTAAAATCAGGATTAATGTCAATTGAGAATCGGTGATTGGATTGCTAAGTTAATAGAATTTAAATCCTTCAACACTTCAGTTTTTGTTCATCTTTAAATTACAACATTATGTGAATCTCTAAGCAATTTTCTGCTATAACATAACAGTTTGAATATCTGGGATATTTACAAAACAAAATACTTCAATTGTTTTCTTTATTTTTACCAATTACACATGAATTTTAAGTGTTGCAGTAATGATTTCCATATTTTTAGGATGTTTTATAGGCATTTAATCTTAAAACTGGTGAAGGCATCTGAGGAGGAGCCCCTCTTGCAGTAACACTACAGCTGATGTAACTTTTTTAAATGACTTGGTGTTTAACTGATGTTATCAATTATTAATGTATACAAATTTATTTGTTGTGCAGTTTGTGAGTGATACAACTCATCCAGTATTTTCATCTGTGCTGGAGGCCTACTCATTCATGCTCACTGATGCATCAACATCCTTGACCTTCAAAGCCCAGGTCATGGACGTTCTATTTTTCTTTACTTCTTTGCCAGATGGTGAGCAAACCAAGTTGAGGTCAGTGAATTCCCCTCATTTACAAGGACTGTTCATAGTGTTTTAGGTGTAAATCGGTTACAGTTTACCCACATGTGACACTAGCTGGGATTTGAGCTGAGTAGATAGAGGCATTTGGTGACAGGATATCCCATTTGCTGGTTTATTCTGCATAAAACTTTGGGAGTGATGAGTCTTCGTCACAAATGAGTATGTAGGAAATACATGAAGAGCAAGACTAACATGCGGGTGCTTCTCTAATTTGAATAATTTATACGTGTAGATAAAGAAATGATTACATACTAAAGTACATGTATGCATAGTTTAATCAAAATAAACAGGAGTATTAATTGAACATTTTGTGACCGTCACACTCATATTGCTGGAATATGTCATGTAATAATATTATTTTCAGCTGATAACTTGTAAGTTATCTTGTTATAATGTCAGAAGACATATATTCATCTATGTGTCACCCAAGTTTCTTAGGTAACAGTATTACAGGTTGGAGGACCTGACGTTTGTAGCTTTCATACATGGAATGTATTTTGAGTTTTATACGTGGAAGTCAGTAAGCATGCTTTGTTTTGGAGATCTATTGATACAGATTTTGCAAAATTCATTGCTTAAATCAGTTCAAGGAGATTCACTTCATTTTTTTTTGTTTCAGGTCTGCCCTTGACAGACTTGTTGCTGACAATTTCCCCCTTAACTCGTCAGAGTTTCGGGTTGGAAGTCCCAAATACATTGACTATGCGGGAGCACTGAATAAGGTATTTAGTTTTTCTGTGTTCTTTTTTTCAGTTTGAGCATACAGTCAGCTTAACTTTCAAATGCATGCGATATAGTGCCCTCTGCTTTAACAAAAAGCAGCATGAGTTATGGTTCTTACTTAAAGAAAGCTTCATTTATTTTACCAACTTTATTCCTCAATGTCAAAAGAGTTTGTCAGCCACTTTTAGACAAATCATTTTTACCGAGGTTATCAGGTCTTAATTTGGAGAATGTCTTTAGTTTTTACGTCCTCTCTTTTTTACATCATTTTACCACAGATAATTTTTATTACTCCTTAGTAAGAAGCTTTTTTTCTGGCAGTTAAATGTACTTTTTATTTTCCAGATTTTAACTGCTATGGTGTTGTCTGGCAATTTGATGCTGTTAGAGATTGTTATAAGCATCATGTGCCGAGATGAGAAGCATGCATATGAGGATGAGATACAAGAATCTTTGGCAGCATTTATCAAACGGTATTTGATGGTTTTGTTATATCTTACTTGTTTGATGTACATGTAGTTTCATGTAATTGCTAGCGTGGTTGTTCCTTATCCCAGTCAGTATTGAAAGCAGTAGATTCATTGAGATGTCAGTCTTATGCCTGGAAAGGATCCCCAATTTTGTTTTGACAGGAAAGCCAATTCTGTCAGGTAGAAAGTGATAAACATTATCCGTACGGTTTATCATTTGAAATTTCAAAGGTAAATAACCTAAGTTAGAAGATAAAAGTTGACAAACTGTGTCAGTATTACCACTCAGACCAGTAATCTCTGATTTCATTGATACTTTGTCCCATTTTGTTGTAGTCTTCCTGAGGAAAAGCAGACAGCAGCTTTTGGTGTTGCTTACCAAATTTTTTGCCAGGAGAACAGTTTCAGTAAAGAGATACGTCGAGCAGCTATTGAAAGAGTCTGTATTCCACTCATGAGATTAGCTGGAGTCAAGGCACTGAGCAGTTTCTTCAAGGAATGTATAAAGAATATAGGAGGCATCATTGATGCTAAGACAATCAAGGTATAAATAATAATTAGTATTTGCTGTAAAGAATTTTAAAGAAGATGCAATGATATCTCTTTAAAGATGCAGTATTGTCTTTTTGAAGATGCTGTAATGTCTCTTTAACCCTAGGCTCCTGCACTAGAAAGCATACTGAACCTCACAAAATCCAACAGGTTCATGTACTTGTCTATGTACTTGTACATGCAGGTTACTATACCAAACCTGATAAACTCCAACAGAATGAGCCAGTTGGAGTTTGAGTGATATGGTATGGATGGGTCTATGCAGTATAGGATGACTTGCTCTGAACAGTACCAAACCTGACGGAATCAAGCATAGTCCAACAATTGGTACAGCAAGCCAGACACTGCACACAGTGACCTGTGTGTGTCCCAACTCACACAGAATCCAACACCAACTCCCTAGGCCTTTCATCCCAAGTGTTACAAAATTCAACAAGTTCCTCAAGTACGGGTACCAAACCTGCCAAAACCTCACAAAACCTGCTGTTGGAGTATGGCAGGTTTTGGGCAGTAAGGGTTAAAGATGCAGTAAAGTATCTTTGAAGATGTTGTGATGTCTCTTTGAAGATGCTGTGCTGTCTCTTTAAAGATGTAGTAATGTCTCTTTAAATCTAATTTCTTAAATACAAACTGATGACATTTACCCCACCTCTAAATAACAGGCACCTGAGACAGTATTTCAGAACCAACTGGTCTCTAAGACATGCTGTTTTCAGCTAGTGGAACTCATGTATTCACGGCTTGTGAAGGAAGATCTGTTCTCAATGGACTCTGCAATCAACAAGGCTTACACTAATGACGTTAAAACAGGCAAGGAGATGACACAGGCCTTAACAAAGTAAGTTAGAATTAATTCCTTTTCAGTGCTGCATCTAATATTTAAAGTATCTCTAATGCTTCCTTCTATTTTATTGTCAACTTTTGGCCAACAAATGAGAACAAGGACATGGTCCTAATTGCAGTATATCATTGTCATGGGAATTTTTTGCTACTTCTAAATGGCAAATGTTTTTTCACTTGCTATCTGAATTCTCACTTGTGCCTCCGAACTCAAAACTTTCTTTTTTACCAGTTCCCTTTTGTTTTTAAGTTTGTTCCCATGCCTGAAGTTTTAAGCTAAATTTCCAAAGCTGTGTCAAAGAAATAATATTCCTGTAATGTTAGATATGACCTCTGCCTCCATTCTCTGAGCAGTAGCCCAGATAGACCAAGTCATTCAGCATAGCGTGAGATTATATCTGGGGATTAATCCTCTGAAGTATTCTCAGCACAAGACTTAGACTCCCCTCATTACACTGATTTATCTTGTGTTTTCGATTCCATCTGTTACAGTAAGTCTTGCAGCTAAGAAGACTCGTATGAAGGAGACATACACTTTGGAATACTGTCCTTACTAGACTGATTCAGTTGCTGTTTTTCAACTCTTTCTCATAGAGCATGTCATGCAGCAAAAAGTGAGGACATTCGAGGGGAGACTAATGCATTAGAGCTACGTCGTCAATTCCACTGTGCAGCTTTTAATGCCCTTATTGCTATTATCAGTTGCACTCAGACTGACATCAAATTCTACAATGCTTTCCTCTTCTCTGAGAACACAGCAAAGGTTGGTTTTGAATTTTTATGAGGTTCATGTATATGTAGTGGATGGTTTACAGATCCTATCCCCTGTAAACATTTACCCTTTATCTGCAAAGAAGAGAAATACTTATTGGTTATAGTGGTAGAGTTCCCAAGCTTAATGACGGATGTAGCGCCTGATTATTGAGGAATGCCAACCATTTGTTGCAGAACCAAGAAACATTGAAAATTATTTAACAAACCTTGCAATGCAATTTATCTACTTTTCAGGGCCAGTTTCTCCTGGATAACATCATAGACATCACCAAGAATTACTCGTTTGAGATTGAGATGAATGCACCAATGGAACGTAAAAAGCGATTTGTGTCAATCCGAAACCAGATACAAGACACAGTTGCTGGGAGCAGCAGCCAACAGAGCGACTCGGGCATTGAGATGTCTGGATATACTGGTAAAGATACAATCGGAATCAAAAGTCTGAATTAACAAATGCATTTCTGCTTGTGGTAACTGTTTGAGTAAAGAGTTTGCTTAGCAAAAAGGTGAAAGAAATTCCAACATATCCACATGTTCTTCCTTTTCATAAACCATGATATGGATTATCTATGTTCATGTTTGTAAATCATCATTTTATTTCTGTATTATGACCAGGACGCTATCTGTCTACCCAGTATCTTGCCAACAGCAGTCTCAGTGAAGATATTCAACAATTTGATTTCTCTGGTGGTGTGCAGCAGTTTAACGCATCCATAGACAAAGATCAGAGTTTAAGCCAAAGAAGCTCTGTGCCGCACATCAAGAAACGCTACAGTAATGAGGTAAAACCAGGAAAAATACAATTCAATTTAAACTTCTACATTTCATTAATGGCAATCCGTTATTGGCTCCACTATAATCTGCAAATTGTCAAAATCGTGTGTATACCAATTGGTAAAATATTACAAAATACCCAGTGCAAGATATTGGGATTTACCTGAATTAATTCAAGGAAACAGTAATGTAGAAGAAGGCTCATGTGAAGCAGGTCCGAGATGATAAGAGATTTATTTACTCTGCAAATTCAAAATTATTTACTGACTGTGCAAAATGTGTGAGTAATCTATTGCCTGAAATTTCAAATGACAGTCAATTAATGGCAGATAGACCAACATTTGTTTGTGGTCAAGGACCCTTGTTCAAGTTGGAAGATAAGTGGGATTGTGATTCTTGCAACCTTCCAAAATCTGTGCCACCGCTGTTTCCATCACTCCTAGAAGATTATGCAGCTGTGCTGTTTTTAGAGTTTAACTGGTCCAACATGGTCTGAATTTTGAAATTTATCTGAAACATGAAATGGATATTATGGCAATCTGAAAACCAATTATGACTGATTCATTAATTGGTATGAGTGTATGATTGATGACAGGAAACACCAACTGTTGTAGTGCAAGGGGAATACATTGAAATGGAATCAGATGCATTAAATCAACATGAATGCATGGCATCACTGACTGCAGTACTTAAACACATGCAGGCCAACAAGATCACACCTGAGATTCCCGAGGTATGGCTGATATATGTAGGCGTCATGCTCATAATGAAATTGTTAAGCTGCTGAACTTATTTTACCATACTCTGCAAAATAAAAGGTTTGGAACGTTTGGGTTGGAAAAAAATCAGAATGATGATAGTCAGACAAATCTAAATTTAAATCACAGGAGACACCTCTGAAAATGCTAGGTACGGGATGTACATGTAGATTAGAGTCAAGCACTTAAAGAGTACCTCTAACGAAAACACATTTTCTCTGATTTCATTTGTTCAAATAAATATGGAAGCATCCAAATCAAATAAAGTGTCATTTGGCATCAGAGCTCAACTATAACAAGCTTAAAAGGGCTTTTTTCTGTTCATGCCTAGATGCGAATTCTGAATATAGATTGCGTCATTCTGAGAAAACATAGAAAACAAGTGGATCCCTCGCCTTGTGTTCATGGCAAATAAACCCATGGCCATTGTTTGGCATGCACAAGGGAATTATCCACTACAGGGCAAGGGTTCCCCTCGTTTTCTATGTTTTCTCAGAATGACACAATCTACATTCAGAATTTGCATCTTGGTATAAACTGAAAAAAAAAACCTTTTAAGCTTGTTACAGTTAAACTCTGAAGACAAATGACTCTGCGATCGATTTGGATGCTTCCATATTTATTTGAACAGATAAAAATCAGAGAAAACATGTTTTCCTTAGAGGTGCTCTTTAAATACATTACAATTAAAAATGTGTTTTTCATTTAACTCCTGGAATTACAGCTGAATTTCATTTTTTTCTATTTCTCTGGGAAGTAAGGCTAGTGAAATGCCTGGTTGGATGGCAAGCTTACAGAAGAAACTGACCAGTCAATCAACCCATGTCAACATTAAGTTGTTTATTGCCAGATTGATCATCAACAACAATGAGGTAGTTTAGTTTGAATTCATTTGTAGCTCAGATGGAATCAAACCAAGCAAAAAGCAATTGACAAGGTGCACCCTTAGAAGGATGGAAGTACTGGTATTAGACTTGGAAATTTTATTCAGCTTAACAAATACAAAATTTTAACTCTCATAAGATCTAAGCAACAAAGTTTAAACAACTTAATATAAGCATTCTGAGATGTCTATGGACTTTATTGTTTGATGCAACCTACAGGGTGAATCAAGAAAGAGATATGTTTTAACCCGTCTTATGCATCTNAAAAAATCCATTTTAGAGAAATCTCAATCCAAAATGTCACCTGTTGTCAGATGAACATTTTTAATCCGTTTGGTGACCATGGGTTAAATCACTGAAAATTGCTTGCAGGTGTTTACACCATATGCTAGATTCTGGTTGAGTGGATTACTTCAGCTACTGATATCAGGAAACACAGGTGGTGAAGGAATACATTACATGGTGGTTGATGTTGTGGTGGTCTTACTGGGATGGGTAACTGTGGCAATACCTGAGGTAAGTAAACAATTGTGTGAAATAGTTAACTAAGACGGCAACCTAGAATTATTACTATAGCTACATGTATTTGTAATGATTGTAGGTTTTGTGGAAAATAGTCAACTTTTATTACTACCGAGAATTATTTTTTGGACTGTGGCTAAAAGCGAGGTAAGTTGGAAAGCCCTCCAAAAAATGGAAACAAGACCACGACCTAGAAGTGCAGAGCTTTGACCTGTGCCTTTATGATCGAGGTTTTCAACAAAAAAATGCATTGTGTTTGCATGACACAACCTTAAGGTTGCACAACATCTGCATCTTGCATGTACATGTTCATGTATATCACCAAAATCACCAGATTAAGGAACTTTAAGTGGAATAATGCAGACTAATATCCCACACCTATTTGGATCCAATTTTATAATTGTAAGTTTTTCATTACAGGACAAACGTTTGGCTAACAGGTTGCTTGAGTTCCTTATGCACTTCTGTCACCATAGCAACCGTCAGGTATTACGGAACAATTTAGAGATGATTAAGACACTTGTTGAATGCTGGAAGGAAATCATAAGTGTTCCCACAAGGTAAACATGTTCACAGTTTCTCTTCTTAATCTAAGTTCCATTTGAGTCTTCTTCCCCTTTTTTGCTCACGTTGGATAGGTCTAATGACAGAATATTACTAGTATTTTAAAGACTTCTTTTCTGAATGTTTAGGATCACCATCAGTGACATTACTAGCATCTTTGTAATATGCCATTTAATGCTTCATATAGTTGTAGTCTTTTGTTTGATCAGCAGTTATTGTACCTAACCATCTTGCATCTAAATTCATTGCAACAGTCTTTCAACTTTTCCTGAATCAGCTGGTTTCCTCTTTTTTACTTCATATTTATTTTGTTTCAATATAGAAAAATATTTTATCTATTGCAGGTTTGAAAATTCACCCTGGCATGAGTAATTTTTCTCACTTTTATCCATTTATTCATTTACTTCTTTACCTTTGTTGTGCCTGTGCATAGCTTTGGTACTTTTCCCACGTTACGTATTTGTTGTACTTTCTTTCATCCTTTTTTAGTGTTATATACCGTATTCTAGCAACTCCAGACCCAGATGTGAAGGACAGCTCTACAGGTCTCCAGCTTCTTGGCATAGTTCTAGCTAATGGACTCCATCCTATTGACAAAGCTTCAGATATTGATGAAGAAAGGTTGGTATGTCTCGTTAAATCTGGTCTGGTAAAAAGAAATACTTGTACAGTATATACCGGTACTTAGAAACCTGAAAAGGTAATGCTGCTATTTTTTTTTCACAATTGTGTAGGATCATACGCATAAGTATTAAGGTAAAATATTCTAAGCAAAATTTTTTAAACTAAAACTAAAGGATTTGATTGAGCAAACATTAGTATAAATCTAATGCATCAAAGGTTAACATATTTAAACCAAATAGTCATTAATTGTGAATGTGCCAATTAATGAAAATGGATCTTGTGTAAACCAAGGAATCATTCATCTAGAACAAGAGTTTCTTGTTGAAAGCTTGATCAAAGAAAGTTTTCATTCCCTTGTACCTGAATTGAACAGTTGTGTATAGTCAGTCAGAAGATTGTTCAGCCTTGTAATTTTAATGTCTTTAACCTGCCCTCAGGTTTTATGCTGCTCTGTCCTATAACCTAAAGAATCGTTACAAGATGGTACATGCTGCTGCAGCTGAAGTGATTGGTATGGCTATGAAACAGAAAGCTGACGTTGATAAGGTACATAAACAATGAATCACAACTGAGAACCAGTTGTCCTGTGTTACATACATTTGGTTAATACCTTTGTATTTTGTTTTGCTGCAATATTTTATGTACGTCTTCTAGTAACGTGATGCTTAATAAGTGCATTATTTCAAAGTTGTGTTCTGCTGTAAGCAGCAAGATGTGATCTTTACATTTTGGTATTCAGCCACATTTTGTACTTTGGTCAAGTAAAATGTAGTCTGGTAGTCAGTGTTGCTGCTTTAGATTGGTTTGTGTTGTGATATTGTGATATAACAGCATGTCTTCTGGTATTTCTTGTTTGTTGTTTGGTAGTTGCTGGTAGGTTTTAATGTACAACCTATTTTTGTCGATAATAGTTGATTGATTCACTCTGCATCTTATTCTGTTTATTAGATAATCAGTAATTATATCTGAGATTTTTATATTCCACCCATTTCCAGTCAATTCAAACTAAACGTTTTCATTTTTTCTGCTATACATATGTATACATAGGTGACAGATGGTTTCTTACATTCCATTGTTACTTCTGAACTGACCAAGATCAGTGAAATAAAACCAGATGTGTTTGTGACTTGCATCCACAAGCTGCATTTCCACTATCCTGAATTTGCAGACCAGTAAGAGAAATTCCCCTGTGCTGTCTTATTTCCATGTATCTTGATCTCTTCATATTTAAATGAATTTTGAGGATATCAATGTATCTGTGACTGTTAAGATTTGAAACAAACCACTGAGATTTATTCATGAATACAGCCTAGTAGAGCCGTTAAGGATCATGTTATTTGCAAGTGATAACTCAAGATTTTTCATAGTCTTGTAATTCATTTCTTGGGTCTGTATCAACAATTTTCTTCAATCCACATCCACACCATGGCAACATGATGTACAAGTTTGTCACAAGTGATGGTAAATGGTTTTGTTATGTAATTTTTCAGCTTCACCAACAAGCTGCTGTTTATGTTACCTTCCTTGCATGGTCAACCCAAAACACTTTGTCTGGAGGTTGTTGCAAGCAGAGTCAGTCACATTCCCAACATTTTCCTTGAGATGAAGAGCAAAGGCATTGTAGAGTTACTAACGCACAGGTGAGAAACAGTTTTGAATGGCGTAACATTTACTTTTTTAATATTCACTTGACTCGGCGTCCATTGAATTGAGTTACTAATAATTTAAATACGACCTTTAACTTTTGCCTGACCATTGCAGGATTTTTGTACAAAAAAGTACTTGTAAGGAACATAAATGTAAACCCACTATTGCAGATATTACATCCTAACTGCACATATTTCAATCCATGCTGTTTTATTAAACACAATCACTACTTAATTTATCCCTGACTTACCCTGTAACAATTAGAATACAGGTCATGGAACCATTACCAAACATTCCTTCATCAGTGTAGACAATGACCCCTGACGTATACATACATGTACATGTATTACCACAGATAAAAGCTGTCAGCTCATTTCTCTGCATTTGGTCAATGTCAAGTTGCCTAATCTGAAATCTGATGAAATCTGTTACCCACTAGCAATAAGCAAAAATTCCCTCGCTTGTCTAGATACTGTCTTTTGATACTTACAAGTTTCCCAAGGGTGAAAGGACCCAGCTTGTTTCCAGCTTGAAGCTGGTCATGCTACCCTTTGTGAAACCAGATGATATCTTCTACCAGCTAGTACTGGTAAGATTACTTCAGCAGTCCAGATACTGTCCTATGATACTTACATTTCCCAGGGATGAAGGGACCCAGCTTGTTTCTCTGAAGCTGGTCAATGCCATGCTACCCAATCTGAAACCAGATGAAATCCTGTACCTTCTTCCACCTGTGAGGACAGTGTTCAACCTTCCCAGCCCAGCATGTAGAGAGGTCATGTATGATATACTCATGTGGATCTACGACAACTTCAGGTAAGTTACATTGACTGCATACTTGACATCAGTGAGGGTACATGTACATTGCTTGAAATAGTAAAGGATGAACATGAATAATGGGAACAACTTGTATATACTTGCAAAACTTAAATTTATTAAATCTTTCAAGAAGGAATAACTGAATATTGGATTTGTTTACTGTCGTATTTTTAAGGTCTCCATAACTATTGCTTTTTTTCACAATGATACAAAAGTATATCTTACCTTTAGTTTTACCTTTGGAACTGTTTCAAACTGTTCTTGAACGTTGCCTGTCTAAATCTACAGCAAAAACTTTTGAATAAACTATTTAATGTTCTTTAATTTTGTCTTTTATTACTGAACTGGACAATCAGCAATAGATCTAGGTATGTATAGATATAATTACACATACACAGTTGCTTGGAGCATGAGAGTAGATGAAGCTAGAGAAGTTTCTTGTTTTTTGTTGTGTTTTTTATCTGTTCTGATGTTACTGTATGCTTTTGATTTTGCAGAATACTCAACAGAACAATATGTGTAGTAATTGTTTGTTAATTTGACTGAACATTGAGAGCAGTGTTCTTATGTTTGAGTTTTTGTTCATTTATTTGATGTACATCTAGTTAGTTTAATGCATGAACAAAATAGTTCATCTGATTTCATTAAAACTGCAAACCTTTTACTGTAATGTTTAGTTTTGCTGTGACTTTCTATCTTTGCTTTGGGAACTACCGGTAGTGCAAACAGCCAACACCTTAAAACAGTTCACTTCCATCTTACTAATCTATGAAGCATCACACTGTACAAGCAAAGTAGGCAAAGAGAAATCAATTTCTGTAACACAAAACTGTCTACAAGAAACATAATTAGTTCCCCAATAATTTTCTTATTTCATTTGCTGTGGTGTGTGGGGCAAGCTATCTCTTGAATCAAAAATTGCTGTCTGAAGGCCAATTTCTATCCTTCAACAGAGATGAGGAATCCCGAACAGAGGATGGTGCTGATGACATACTATGTATGGCCAAGGACACATTATTACAAGGGTTGTCAGATGAAGAGGCATCTCACAGGTAAAATATGTCCTTGTATTGCAAGCTGGCAATTTGACAAGGCACTGCCACATGTCTTATGAATTAAGAATTGCATACAGAAAGTAACATGACATGATACTGAGTATTGCCAAGGATGCATTAATCTTTGCAAGGACTGTACTATCAGAAGGAGAGGCTTCTAGTATATGTAAATTTGTTTCCATTACAGGAATGGATTTCTCGGCAAATCTCCTTTATTTTCAGTCATTTCCATGAAATGCTTAAGCAGAACCAATATTTACAACCTAAAATTTCCTTCTTTTTAGTACATATGCATTTTGACTGAAGAGCAGTTCAGTATCCTCAGTAATTCTGAAACTAATTCCTAATCCATATTTTGAAATTTTTGGAGTTCTTAATGTTCAGTCATGTTTACTAATAAAAAATGTTTCTTAAATCCTGGTAGTTGATGATTGAATTTTGTGATAAATTGTTGCAGGTGATAAGTAGTTTTTTAAATCCTTAATTTCACCATATTGCATTATTTAATTCATCAACAGGTTGAGAGTGAGCAATTTTTGGAGTCATGAAACCAGACTTCCGACTGGTACACTTGAGCGGCTGGTTGCTATGCTGGAATGTATGTATTCTCCTGGGACGGAGCACCAGTATCTGAGTTATGCTTCCAGCCTGTTGCTTGAGATGACATCCAAGAGTCCTGACTATAAGAGAGAGATCTTTGAACATCCACTCTCAGAATGCAGATTTCAGGTATGAATAATGTATTAACGGTAATTAGTAAACGATATACATGTACTAAAACAAAATGTCAAAGTGCTAATAAGGTGCTACAAAAGGCCCCAAATGACCATAAATATGTGTGATTTTTATCACCAAAGTTTTTAATCTTGATAAAAAAATATTTATCCATGTTGCATATTGAAACTAAAAGAAGTCTTTTCCCCGTTTCATTTAATACCACAGATAATATGGTGCCTGCAATTCTAAATCTTATGAAAAAACTTAATTTTTAATTTAGGCCATGTCCACATCTTTGTGGAATTGCCCGTGTACATAAGGTTTGTGAAAGGAAAATACAGAAATATTTATTTTATTCTGTTCTTATTTAATTGCTATCGAAGCTTTGAAGCTTGAGTGGTTCAAAACACATTTTTCATTCTCAAACATGTCATGCTTCAAAAGGGTAATTTTACACAAACTTCCATATAGACTGGTAAAGTGGTCAACTTGTATCTCCATTGTAAGTTCTCTTGCACCACTTCCCAAATTTGACCCATTCAAAGGTGCAGTGGCCTGCCTCACATATGTACTTGTGTGCATGACAAACTTTAGCCAACACTTCCAAGTGACAAATTTACGCCAGAAAAAAATGAAAATGAATAAGACTGAGATTCTCTCTTTTGGTTCAGTGTATATATCTTTTTATTTCAATACATTTATTTCACCTGTCCTGTTCTCACGGGAAGTCTAACTGTGAAGTGAAATTAAGTTTTCCATGTGACATGCAGTACAATTACACTGGTTGCTGCTATGTTGGAACTATGATAGTTAGTAACATAAGAATGCCAGCTCTGGCAAGTGTCGTTGAAAAAGATAAAGATAAATACTTAATGAAGATTTTTGCAAGTTAATTTTCAAGATAAAAACCATTGCTTTTTTAACCATAAAGGAAAGGGAGATTTTCTGTATAAGAGTCATTCGTGTCAATGGGAGACTTTGAGAGGCTTGGTAGTGACAAACATTCTGGTCCTTTTAACCAGTTCTGAGCATGCATGCGTTGTTCTGAGCATGCGTGCATAGTTCTCGTCGTGCAATACCCTGAAAAAGGTTTAAAGGACTGGTATGACTGCTGCCACCGGCTTCTCAAAGTCTGCCGCTGCATGCACTCAGCAGTCAGCTTACATGGCATCTTTGATTGCATATGCATACATTGTTCATGTACACATACCCATATACGATACTTACCATGCTGCATGTTGGCTATTTTTTCTTCCTGATTAAGATTTAGATTTTATTGATTCTCAAGTCAAAGTCATTTCTCCTTAATATATTTCTCTTCTTTAAAGCAAATTTTCAATATTCAGTTAAAGTATGTTGAAAACTTTCCAAGGTGAACGTTCGGTATGCCCAATAGTTCAGGATAATGGTGTTGGTATAGCAGCATTATACTGGATGTGTTGTTATTCTAACTTTTTTTCTGTTTAGGATGTAACCATTGATCACTCATGGAAACAACGTCATCTAGCCATTTCTACTCCTATGTTTGTTGAGACTCAATCCAGTCAGGCCTCCAGTGGTTCTCAGTCACAGAGCCCTCCAGATTCTTCGCTGAGTAGAGGAGAAATAAGAGCCACACAAGATGCTCATCAATTTATTGCCACTCAGCAGCTTGGTTGGTATTACAAAGAACTCATAAAAACCAATGCTAGTGATTGTTTTTTTCACCGCTTTGTGACAGTTAAAGGCCTTCATTGAGGTATTACATATTAAAAAACTAACCCACATATTAACAGAGAGAAAATTTACAGTAACTTAAAACCAGGAGGAGTAGAGTAAATCTCTAGTAAATATACTTTACTAGAGGTTGATAATCCCTATGAGGATACATGGATTAAGTTTAGGATATTACAGAGAACCCAAGAGATTTATCTATTATTTTGGAGTGTGAGTGATATTTGTGGGGGAGAAGTACATTAGTGTGAATTAATTGGCTGCGTACATGTATATAGTCTGCTCATGAATACCTCCTCCCGCAAACTCAATTTTGTTATATTTTTGTCGAAGTGAATACAGTTCATTTAGAACATCGCTTACAGATATGAAATGCTTATATTTACAGATGCTGTGGCCAGTCGTAAGAATGCATACAACTGGCTAACGGGAAGCCAAGACACTTTCGCTGATTACTCAACCAGCTCTGCTTCTGATCAGTCATCCCTGCTGTTCACTCTTGGTGCCAGTAAGAAGATGGGACGGGGAAGACAAGGTGTTAGCAAAACAGCTACAGATGCAGGATTTGGGAAGGAGAAATTACAGAGTGATCAGCCAAGAGGGAGAGATGAAGTAGATGCCAAACAAAGTAATTGTGTTTAACAGTTAATATCACCTTGGATCTTGTAGGAGATTTTCTAAATTGAGTGAAACATAAGAGGTGAGCATTTGATAGATGTTAACCTGATATGATGATAGAGGCTGAAGACTGCAAATTTTCATTAAAGTTGAGGTAACATCATCTACATGTAAAGTGTTCTAAATCTCTGAAGCTTTTGTTTGGGTCTTGGTGGAGTAAGAGGATCTGAAAGGGTTGTGGTTAAGGAATTCCAACCCAACAGCGCATGTTAAATACATAAGTATGTCCATACCATGTGAAGCAGACTCAGATAATATGCTCCTGTGGTTACAGATGTTTAAAGAACACAGAGAAATATTAAAGCACTGTAGTATTGAAATATATTTGTCATTAGGTGGGGAAGACAAGAAGATAAATCGATTGAAGAGACGATTTCTCAAGGACCATTCCTCAAGTCAAGCTTACTTTGCTAGAAGGGAAATGAAACGAAAGCAACTGAAGGAGGTAGGGAACAATCAAGTTAGCTTGATGTATGTGGCTTTGGTTAGTGCTGTTTTTTATATAGTATGTTATTTCTGCTTTTCTAGAAAATTCTTGAGGAGCAGAGAGAGCGGAAGTTCAGTACTGTTACTATGTACAGACGTTACAGAACTGGAGACCTACCAGATATTCAGATAAAATATTCAGATTTGATTGCGCCTCTGCAAGCATTAGCACAGGTAAGAAATTGTGACTGATCCAAAAACTGAAATTACGGACATCATCAACACTATTGAACGTGCAAGTAACATTGACATTATGTATTATTCAAAAACTGCTCTACTTATGTTCAAATTCTGTTGGCCTCTTTTCATTTATTTTACACTGAAACATATTTGAAATCTTTCATTTACAGATGAAGGATTTACAACTGATGGATTAAAGATGTTATCCGTATTTGTGACCTGCTTTGCGAAAAAGGGTATTAGGGGACTCTGGTATTTTTCATGTTAAGGATTTTTTCTGTGGACAAGGTGTTTTTTTCACTTCTTGGTTTATTGGCTTCTATTATATACGTACTTTCACAATTCATACATGAAACTTAAGTGTTGCTATTGGTGTCAAGAGACTTTCTTTTTAATGGCTGATTTCTTTTTCCACTTCCTGTGTTTAAAGGGCTTTATCTCTGAAAGCAATTCTTTTAATGTTTATGATTATGCAAAAATCAATATATCTACAGATTGCAAAATTCCACAGGGTTCAAACCTACACTTAATTAAAGCTTATAAAGTAACAAATTCAAATGTGTGTGTGACTCATTTTGAAAAAAAGTTCCATAATACCCATTTTGATAGAGTCTGTCGCATTTTCCTTCTTGTCATAGTACAGTTAGCCTAATAATGATCACCATTGCACAAGCTATATATAGGCAATTTAAAACAGCCCTTCACTGACAAACCAAATCATGTTTTCAAAGATGCTTGTATTATTACTATATTTCTTAATATATCTGTTATTAGCGAGATGCATCTTTAGCAAGGCTCCTGTTCAGCTCTCTCTTTAGAGGAATATTCTCTGAGATTGAGGAAGTCAAAACAGAGAGAGAGGCAGAAAGTACCAAAGTGGAAATCAATCGACATCTCAACACAATGCTGTCCACATCCACTCAATACTTCCCTCCATTTATCAGCTGTGTACAGGTAATCATTTCACAACTGTGTGCATGTACCATCCATCACTGCTGTAGAGATTTTCTCACATTGTTGAAGGCCAGTAAATTACATTATCTTGATATTGTGATAAGACATGACTGGTAAATTGTGACTCGTTGCGACTTCAAGTTTCTTGTATTGCGGTATGAATACAAATTAATAAGTTTCATTTCATAGCAATTAAAAGTAACACTTTTATTTCACTACAGGAAACCTGTTTTCAAATCACAATTTTAAAAAACTGTATTCTTACAGCCCTTAAGTATCTTGTTTTTAAATGAAATGTATGTATTCATTTTGTTTTATAGGAGATTAGCTACTACCACAGTGAACAGTTGACTCTTGTGCCCTCAACAATAAGCACAGCCAGTTTGACTAGTCAGCAGATGCACATAGGTAAAAGCTGTAATAAAGGCATTTCATAGTGCACTGTGCAACCAAGAGGTTGCCACAGAGAAGCCTTTTTCACAGTGCATTGTTGAAAAACAGTCGCACAATGTGTGCCGGGGGGGGGAGTTTGAATTGTTCCTAACATTTGTTTGCCTGGGCTAAGGATTCTAAAACAGTTTGAGTATCAGTTTTAATTAATCAAGAGCATGGTTTTTGTGAGCAAGAATGCCATGATCTTTAAAAAATTTGTTCTAAGTTGTCTACCGACATTTATCCAAATGCAAATTGCAGGGAGTCGGCCATATTTTTATCCACCATAAGCCTGGCAAATGGCCTCTCTCTGGCAACCTCTTGGCAGCATGCCAAGTTGTGAACCACCCCCATTATAATTTGTGACTGACAGGCTATGAGGAGGGCAGTACCAAGAGCAAAAAGTGTCCATAAAGAAGAAAGGATTTGCTTGGGGGGAAAAATGAATGTCCTACTGTCTACATGTTGTCCTTTCCAACAGATTTACATGTATTTATTCCTCTCAACGTTTGCTACTGTAACCGTTTTCTTTAGTCTCTGTCTTTATGAAAACAAGCTATGGATTTTTAATGGAATTACTCTTCTCAGGGATCCGTCTACTGGAAGAGAACCTGATCCAGAAGCCATGGCAAGAGGAAAAAAGTGCAAAGAGAGCACGTTTTGTCTCCAGGGAACCATCACCAGAAATAAGCACCTGGATTGAACTAGCTAGGTATGAAAGAAGGTTAAAATACATAAGAGATTTATCTGAAATAAGCTCTTGAATTGAGCTAGCTAAGTGTACAAGGATATTAACCCTAACTCCCTAGGCCCTTGCACTAGAAATAGTACTGAATCTAACAAACTCCAACAGCTGTGCACAATTTCAGTAATTACTGGTACCAAAGCTGCCAAACTCCAACAGGGCTCATACAGCATACAGTACTAGACCTGGCAAACTCCAACAGTTGGAGTTTGGTCAGTTTGGTACAGATGGGTCTATGCATTGTCTAGTGATTAGAAAAGGATGCTACCGAACCTAACAAAATGAGCCAATGTACATGTACTTACAATAGAAAATCAGAGTTTGGGGGAGTTCACAGGCATTTATTCATGGGTGAGCTCACGGCCACTCCCTAGCACAGTTCCTGGTCAATTGCATATCTATGTTGGAGCTAATTGTGGCCTGTACTCTTTATCCAAGGCCCCTGCACTCGAAAAGTATATAACCTGTCAAACTGTTCCTCGCTTGGTCTTCTTCATCTGCTTGATCTTTTGTTGCTGTGGGTTGGTGTCTTTGGTTGTGAATTCTTTGCTATTGGATTTGACGGTGCCAGTTATGTACGTCTTCTTTGCAAGGAGGCGACGGGCTAGGGAGACAGAGGTGTATAACCTGTCTGTGAAGACGTGGTGATACACTCCCAAATGATGCTTAGCCACTTCCATGACAATATCTACCATCTTTGCTGGCTGATCTGTAATGGGGTGTATCATGAAGTTTAGGAAAACTCCAGTTGCTGCCTCTGCAATGGCATAAATCACTCATATCGGTTTTAGCGGCATGAAGAACTTGCGGACGTTCACCTTAAAACCTCAATACCTAATCATGGCTTCATCAATGGACAGTTCAAGCCGGGGATGATATTTCTTTCCGCATCTCTTCAGCACCTTATCCCAGATGGGCTTGAGGGGGTAGAGTGGGCTTTTCCTCTTTGCCGGGTAGCGTGCTGCCTTCTCACGAATGAGGTCGGGATGCTTGGCTGGGTTGTTACAAGTGAGGTGGTGATTAAGTGTGTCAAAGCAGTTGCGGACCATGGTTGTCGAGATTAGTTTGTTTCTGAGGCCTGGCTCTATTGACCAATATTTCTTGTAATTGGTGATCTTGACAAGGCCCATCAAGGTGTGAACTGGCACATCAGAAAGGGACCGGGTCCAACCATCCTCATCAGGAGGGTAGTCTGGCTGGAAGACAAACTGTGGATCCGGGTCATTGTCAGAACCAGCGGAATGGTATTTGGCCGACTTCCTTCCTTTCTTTCTTGGCTTTGCTCTGTTTGGTGGTTGTGGAGGTGGTGCAGAAGCAGCATCACTCTCATCATCCTCGTCAGTCAGACCACTGGACGGCCCACTCTCCATCTTCTTGGCTTTGGTCTTGGCTCTCTTTGGTGGTGGTGGTGGGGTCATATCACTCTCCTCTGCTATGGTATTCCCACTGTCAGTGCTCTCTACAAAACACTGTGGTGCTCCTCTGTTAGCCTCACCAACAGCAAGGTCTCAACCACAGCTCTGTAGCTTTTCCCCATGTGTATTCCTGTCTCCTTGCAACTAGCTCTGATGGCTGCTCTGAGCTCTTCATCCTCCTGTTTCCTTCTTCTGGCCATACAATTGGCATCCTTGTACTGTTATGGAGCCTTTCCTTTTCCTTTCTTCTTATCTCCTTTTCCCTTATCCTTTGAAGATCTCTCGCCATGCTCTAGATGCGTCCTTTTCTTTGATGTATCCATAACATTCTCCATGAAAGTTTCTCGCTCTTCACTTCTCAAACGTTGCTGTAAATTTTTCACCTCCCTTGCAGTCATGTTGAGAGGCTTTTCTCAAAATGAAACTGGGGTGAATCTTGTGTTGCACTGATATTTATAGGAAATGTTGGTATTTTTATTACAAAAAAATACATATTATGCATACCATGGTATGGATATTATATAATACTTACCTTTGTAGAACACATCATGCATCTATGTACAATACCAATAACTGTGTGGAATTTTTCACATTCTATATAAATTCCAATACCCTCCTGTAAGTAAATGTACCAGTCTTACCTTTGTATGCAAAATACACGTATAGTGTCCTTGACCATGCTGACCAGTTCAAATACCCAGTACTACTAGTTAGTGCAATATTACCATCCATGTACACACACTATATGTACACACACACAGTCCAACCATGGAGGAGGGACACAGAAGGAGTTGTAACTCAGGCACTTCAAAGCGTCCAATGATGGTCGCCGCTGAGTCTGACGAATAATAGAAAACATTCCAAAAATGCCTTATTGCTGCCTGCATCTTAGCCAGACAAGCGGGGCCGGTAATATCCTGGCAATGCTTGTATTTTTTTGGTTGAAATTAAATACAAATTATTGCTGTGACCAAGAAATAGAGAGAGAAAAATTCCTGATATTAGACCTACTTTTGCCATCATAAATAAACTTTTTAAATTTTGACACACTGTTTCATTATCCATGCAAAGTTTGTAATTCTAGTCTCCTCGGTCCAATACATCAGTGTTCAAAGACTAGGTACAAATTGGCTAAGACTGGCCATCAAAATCTTCACTACTTCTGGAAAGCTCAGTTCATTAGGAACAAAATGTGCTATTTCATCACGGGGAGTGATCATGAGATCTTGTAAAATACGCCTTTGTACAAATGCCATAATAAAAGTGACTCAAACAAAACACAAAATCTTACAAACAGCTTGGCTATTTATTCCCAAAAGAAGTCCAGAAGAAAGCGTTCGATAAGGGCAACAACTGCACATGAACACTTCGGGTACACAGCCTCGTAAAAGCAGCTATGCAAGCACTAAATTTGATGTTGTTGTCGGATCATATCAAGCACCAACGATGACATGAATATTCAACTTCCTATACTGCAGTACACAACGTTTAGGGATGCAGATTACCAATGAAAAATTGCGGCGATGATCATAGGGTACAAAGAGGGCTTATGGTTGCAAAACAGGTGGTGAGTAGCGGCCATGCGCTGTGCTCTGGCTATGGACATACAGGGTATGCTAAAAAGGGGTATTTGGCCAGATGTTATAGCCCGAGCAATTCATACTTCTTCTGTGTCCTTCCTCCATGGTCCAACACTGGTCAGTAGAGGTCACTGGGTGTTTATCCAGTGAGCTCTACTGGCCAGCCAGCCAGAGCCACCGGTGTCTGTTCACCCAGCAGAGTCCGACACCCACTGTTGTAACCAAGATGCTGACCTGACAGTACCAGCTCAGCCAAAATTAAATACCATCACCCTGGGCCTACTGTACCAAATCTAGCATAGTCCAACACCATGTGCTTAAGGTGTGGTACTGAACAAGCCAAAACCTAGCAAAACCTGCTGTTGAAGTTTGATGGGCCATGGGCAGTTAGGGTTAATTTGGGCTGTCACTTTACATTTTTGAAAGTATCCAACTTGTATGAAAGAAGGGAAGATTGCATTGGGACCATCACCGTGCATGAGCTCTTGGATTTAACTAATTAGGTGTGAAAGAAAAATAGGACATAGGAGCCATCTCCAGACATCGGCTTTTGGATTGAACTAATTAGGTGTGACAGAAAAGTAGGATATGGGATCCTTCACCAGACATAAGCTCTTGTATTGAACTAGCTAGGTGTGCATGAAGGGTAGGACGTACCGGTAGGAGCCAACACCAGACATCAGCTCTTGGATTGAACTAGCTAGGTGTGCATGAAGGGTAGGACGTAGGAGCCATCACCAGACATCAGCTCTTGGATTGAACTAGCTAGGTGTCCATGAAGGGTAGGACGTAGGAGCCATCAACAGACATCAGCTCTTGGATTGAACTAGCTAGGTGTCCATGAAGGGTGAGACGTAGGAGCCATCACCAGACATAATCTGTTGGAGTGAACTCATTAGGTGTGAAAGAAGGGTGGGACATAGGAGCCATCAACAGACAGAATCACATACTTGTAGAAGCAAAGTGCATGAGTTATAACCCAAAAATAATACCTGGAATTAACTAGCTTACCATGGTGACAGAATATATGATCATATTATTTATCGCGTGGATTTAATTGCCCATAGAATTGGAATGGTTCAAAAGTGTTCGCACAAATTACTAAGTTAGGGGAGCTTTATTTTTCTATGAAATAGGAACAGGATGTAGCAACCACCTTCAGAAGTAAGCACCTTGATTGAGCAAGTTATAAATAGGGCATGGCATACAAACAATCATCAATAATTCTCAGAATGAATTAACTGGTTATGGAGTAGTGAAGCACATTACTGTTGACAGAATTGAGTTTTAGCATTTTATAGTCATTTAGCATAAGGAAAAGCAACCACAAATTGTCATAGATATCTCTGTATTGCTGGTGTTATTCTCTGCATTTGGTGGGTTTATTTGAATGCACTTGGTCAATGCCTACATCTCATTTTACACCCTGTAGATTGTACAAAGCCCTTGGGGACTTTGATGCAGTGCAGGGTGTATTTAGTGCTTGCATTGGTACCCATGAGATCACTAAGACAGCATTAGAAGCAGAAGCAAGAGGAGACTACTCAACAGCTCTCAAACTCTACAATCAGGTAGGTCATAAGGATAGACTTCAATTAATATTCACGGCAGAATGCATATGAAAAACAATTGGAGTCTTGATAAAGGTAATCTGAGCAACGGTTAACAACATACCAGTAGGAGGGGTAATAGATAAGTTATGGCAGACAAAGGGGCAGACGAGAACATTATGTAGCATGTTTATGTATTTAAACTTCATTTTTGATAACCTGAATGTGGTGTCTGATTTTAATGCTTGAGTTTTAAATTGTTATTCTTATTATATGGTTTTCTTCTCTAGGCATTTGAAATGGATTGGGATGAAGGAGCTGTGTCTCAAGTTGAGGAGGATTTGTGGGATGAGTCTAGACTTAATGTAAGATTAAAATTCACAACTTATAATAGCACTTGTTGTGGATTGACGCGGTGTGGGACTACCAAAGGAATGTCCGATGGAGACACTGGGCATGGTACTTGGTCTTGGTTATGCTTATTATCTCTGCATCGATAATCTCCATCTAGATTCATGCATGGGAAGCCCGTTCTGATAGAAAACATGATTCAAAACAAGTACATGTATTTAGGAAAGATAGTCCTATACGAGGAATCCAAGAAGAGGGCGCATTTATGTTTGTTTACGATGATGATTGAGGAATGACATGTATTTCCGACAGTTAAGGATTCTGAGATTTTGGAATGGAATTTTGTGTCTAAATGTTAATCACTCTTTATAAGGATCAGTTATCTAATTATAGAAATTACTCCTTTAACCCAAAGATTAATTAAAAGTAGTGAAACAGATTCCCTACCGTCCTTTATCCGGCCATTATTTGGTATGGATTTTCATGCTCCGTGTGTGAGCGGCATGACAGTGGCTCGCAGGGTTTTTTGTTGTCATCGTGCGGTGGTGCCCTTCGCATCTAAGCTCAACTTTTCGCAACAGCACTTCTGTCAAGTATGGATGAACTTAAAATTGGCATATTTCTCCAAACAATTAGCTGTTTAGGAATGAATTATTTACAATTAGTTTGACCTCTTCAGATTGAATTTACAATTAGTTTGATCACTTGGGGCTCTCTCAAAAGGAGCTTGTGTGCAAGCTTTTTCAACTTCCTGCATTTCAAAATGCTGCGGAAAACACTTTCTATGACATTATTGAACAACATAGGAGATAATACCAAGAAGTATATTACCACAGAATGGCTAGTGGTATTCAGTTATTCTGTTAACTGATCGATGTGTCCAGTGTTCAATTGTATATCACTTCTTGTTTAACCAAAACCAATTCTTAATTGGCACAAAAGAACGGCAAATATCTTGCAGTGTTGTAGTCCAGACCGTCACAAGACCAGACACAAGACCATGCGTAAGACCATGCACAAACCAGTCACAATAACTGTGTGAACGATGACAAAGGAATGCTTTTGTTGCAGTTCAAATAGCTTGTGACTTGAATTCAGACTGGAGGTCTTGTGTTGGCCTTGTGCTGGTCTTGTGTAGTCTTGTGTAGGCCTTAAGTTTTCTCGACTGCAACACTGATATCTTGTGGAACCAAAATCTTAACGTTCAAGCTCTGAGACATATTCAAGGAAAGGCTGGGTTGCATGAATTTGTAAAATGCTTTTAAAAATCAAGAAAGATAATGTGTTTGTTTTAAAATGTGTTAAGCTTGCATAATTTGAAAAAACAAATTAACCATTCAATTAAACTTTGTCAATTAACTGCAGGCTTATAACTCTTGTTTGTTTTCTTGTGTGCCTCATTGTGCATATTCAGTGCTGCAACCAACTGACCCAGTGGAAAGAACTTCAGAATTACTCCACAGTAAACATTGATGACAACAGCCCTCATGACCTTGGCAAGATTTGGTCTGATACTTTTTATCAGGTAGAATTTTGAAGGATTATTTATCAGAAAGGTGTTGGTGTAATTTGTAATTTGTCGTTCGTTACTTGGAATTTAAACATACCTATTTGTTTGTTTTTTGTTTACAATGTTTACAAGTGTTCCAAGGGAATTGTGCTCTTTGTAAAATTCTGTAATATAGGTTCTACACAGGACTTTTTATTTCTTGACAGATGATGACATTACATAGTTCATTTTCTATTTTTCTAGGAGCTGTATCTACCGCATATGATGCGCAGTATGCTGAAGCAATTAATGGAAGGAGGAGAAGATGAAACTCTGCTTCAGTTCATTGATGCGTCTATGTCTGATGCTGACAAACGAGCTTTCCTCGAGGTAACTGACGCTGGCCTTCAAGTTATTTGAGGAGTCCATTATCCTCTCCAAACTTAAGTAACCACAAAATATTACATGTTACGCTTACACAAAGTGCGTCATTTCAATCATAAAATCAGGAGAGATTCCAGCCACGCGCATGCGCAGTCATTACACCACGGTGCAGTTTCAGCAGTAACTGTGAAACAATATACTTTTAGCCACGATCATCCAAGTAATCTTCAGTTCGTGAGAACCTTTGTTTGCCTGATTTCACTCCGTGATAATCATGGACACAACAGGAAAATCAAAGTCTACACAGATTGTTGGGAAACAACTGATAAACTCAGGCAAAAACACCCAGTCAAACCGGGCGGCTTGCACCAGTACTGCTGTACACAACATGTATTAGCACGGCAGTTGTCACAACCAACACGCATGTAACATGCATCACATGCCTCAACTACTTCAAGCGCAACGATGTTGCCGCCACGCATGCCAACCAAGCCGACGAGTTTGAGCAACTCGGACCAGTCAAAGCCAAAAAAGTCACACTCTAGCAAGTCTAGGGACGATGCAGCTATAGCCAGACTTGAAAAACTCGAGGAACTTATGAGGAAGCAGGCGGAAGAAACACAGAGTTTTCAAGAAATGATCATGGGTGCATTGGCACCTTACCTGGCAGCAGCTGACGATGACACCACTAGCTACAATAGCTATGCAGGCACAGACAATACATGTACTACTGATGAGGTCTATTTGTGTGACCCAACGGATGATGACATGGTTTTTGAACCTGCTTGTGCTAGTGGACTAATGTCCATGAACCGACAAAACCCAGACTCAAAATTCACAGGCCAGTAATACTCCGACCAGACTGCAAAACCACAGGCACTGCCTATGGACAAAGGGTTGCTTCCCGGTTTACTGTTCCATCTGGGGTTGGAAATCCTATTAAGGAGGACATAGCAAACAGCCTAACTTTTCTTCCAACAGAAAAACTGGAAGAAAAGAATCTGAATGACACTGTAGACACATGTCAGTGCCCCAGTAACTTTGAGGCTTTAACAGTGCCCAAAGTAAACCCACAAATCTGGTACAATATCTCAGCAAAAACCCACTCCAGAGACCTGAAGCTTCAAATGGTGCAGAAACCCCTCATAAGGGGGGTCACTGCTCTTGCTCGTGCCTTAATGGTCCATTAACCACTGAACAGGAAGATGGGCTTGCCCTTCTGGCCTCGGCCAACTTTGAACTCAATAGTCTCCATGAGGAGCTCATCCAGCCATACCTGAACCAAAAATATGCCCATCTGTGCAGACTGTCAATGAAGGTTACACAGTGGTTGTGTGGCGATGACCTGGGTAAACAGGTGAAAGAACTCCATGAGTAGCAGAAGGCCATGATGGGGGTGATGCACTTCACACGCGAACAACGAGGGAGTTTTCACCCTTGTGCAAACAAATGCGTCCAAGCTGCAGGCTGGAAAACAGGTGGACATATCTCTAGAACTAACAAAGCTCTTTTTTAGGGGGGGAGCCACACTCAGCTGAAGCTGAAACAGTTCCCACGCCACCGCACCAACCAATATCAAGGGAGACAGTACACCCAAGGCCAACAAAAGAATAGCCAGGCCAAGAAACCAACCTACAGTAGATGATTACCTGGCAGGCCAGGCAAGACCTACCGCACTTGAGGTAGGTATACACATCAAAGGGCTGTAATATGCATTTACAGAAAAAACATGTACATGTAGGTGGTCAATTGAGGCTATTTAGCAGAGAATGGGAAAGACTAACCTCTTACAAAGTGAGTTTAGAGGCCATCAATGGCTATCACTTGGAGTTTGGAAAATTTGTGGGTACACACCTCTTTATTGTCAGATTCCTGAAAGGGGCATATACCCGAAGACCTCCAGCCCCAAGGTACACGTGGTCTGGGATGTGAAAACTGTGTTTGACTATTTGTGTAAGCTGTTTCCTGCCCGTATGCTCTCACTAAAGGAACTGACATTGAAACCAGTCATGCTTCTGGCATTGGTTACAGCACAGAGAACACAGAAGTTACACAAACTACACCTGGACAAGATGCAGTTGAAAGCCAGCTCTGCCATCTTCACCATCCGGAATCTGCTCAAGCAAAGTAAACCAGGGAACACTGGAATGATCATCAAACTTAAAGCTTATCCCCCGGACAGACGCCTGTGTGTGTACACCTACCTTAACCCCTTAGCACCTGGAGGCGGCTATAGCCGCCGTAAAAATTGATATCCTCATCCCACTTTTCAGGTATTATTCTCGGCCCACACTCAAGCGAACACAGTGAAAGAAGGCAGACCCTGGCTCTTGTGTATGTGGTAATTGGTCTTTGTGTGTAGCCCAGAAATGAAAAGTCCGATTTTGCATCGTAATCACCAGCTTCGCAATAGTCCCCACTTTGAAAAGAGGCAACAGGAATGTGGAAGCTTGAGTAGAGCCGCATGCCACCGAACAATCAGCCTTTTCACCGTGTAATTCAAAGCGTGCAGAGCACACTGGGCCACAAACCAAGAATTTGCGGTTTGGCAGGTGGCCTTCGTGGCCAAGCGAGGCTGGAATTCTTGGAGTCGGCTTTCGGAAAGAAACTCCCGCCGAGAAGGGGTTAAACACTACCTGGCACAAACCAGTTCGCTCAGGAATCGGGGTCAACGCAAAGAAAACCAGCTTCTAATCAGTTACAGGCTTCAACACGGTGCTGTCAGTAAGGACTCTGTCACAAGATGGATCAACATAGTGTTACATCAAAGGGGATGTGGACACTTCATGCTTTAAGGCTCATTCCACGCGAACAGCTGCCGCATCTGCTGCAAACAGAGCGGGAGTGCCTATCCCTGATATCCTTCGGACTGCAGGTTGGGCTTCAGAGACCACCTTTCAGAGGTTCTACAACAAACCACTTTGGGAACCTCAGGAAATGTGACATGCATTGCTTAACAGTTGTGCATAAATGACTCACATGGATTGTCTGTGAATAGTTCCGTCCATATATTGTTATTGACCTAATGGTTTCTATATGTTGGCTGTCTCTAGGGTAATTCCAGAGCATTACCATGGTTCAATGCTGATGCGGCATGTCATAAACATCAGTGAGGAGACAAATATTGATCTTCCCTAGCGTCAGCGAATATTGGACATGTATTTTGCGATTCCAGTCATCTTGTAACCTGCCATGGACTATACATTGTATTTGTTCATGTCTTAACTTGGAATTGATTGATATATCATCTTACAGAAGGCAATGTTTGTGAATGCCACATAAGAATACAGTGACCAAGGCTTGATTGGAGCATGGATAGATAGTCAAAGACAGTTGTCACTAATGTTTGGTGCGAGTTAGTGACGCAGCTACATTTAAGCTAGAAAGAAAAGCTGTATTTTCCTTTAACAGTTTGTATGGTACAGATGAAAGCCGCGTATTGGAGTTCAACAGCTGCATTAAAACACTAGTGTTCCATCCTATGCCAAAGAATCACCCAATACAAACCCCATACTGGATATGCGGCCAGATGCCTTTCAACATATCACAGAATCTCTGGCGAGATTTCAAAATAAAATGAAGGGATTAAATGAGAACTTACCTGTTTGAAATTTAATCCCAATTTTATGAGAAAGGGGGAGCGAGAGATTACGTGCCTGCCTCTCCCGCCCTATTTCTCTATCAGTAGGACAAGTTCTCATTGATCCCTTTAGTTGGAACTGGGATAAGGTTTTTCATTTGACCTCATATCCTGGTTTTCAATTATGACTGCGCATGTGCATGGCTGGAATCTCATTTAATATCTCGCACGCCCTTTCTCATAAAATTGGGATTAAATCTCAAACAGGTAAGTTCTCATTTAATCCCTTCATTTTCACCTCAGCTAATAATAGCCATATGTAACAAAATATTCTATATTTGTTTGAGTTGTATACAATGGCTTTGGATAGAGTGTAATTTGGTCATGGAAGCTTTGGATCATTGCCTGAATGCATAGGTTTGTCCTTCAACAACTTTGCTGAAAAAAGGGTAGAGAAAGCATCTTGTTTTTGGACCAAATTTTCTTGCCCCCTAGAAACTTTCTTTGGGAGTGAGGCAACAAAATTTGGACTGAAAATAACATTTTTTTCAACAACGTTTAGCCGTAACTTTTTAAAGCATATGAACCAGTGAATTTTTAAAACTTTTCCCACACAGGCTCGCTACAGTGAGGAACTTTCAACTCTTTATACAATTCAGGAAGACTATGACAGAGCTATGTTCTACTTAGCAAACTGCAGGCAGTCATTTCTTCATGTAAGTATCTGCTTTCATTGTCCATGGAATTTCATATGTTTTTCAGATTTGGACTGAAAACTTTCAAGCATTTTCAGAACTAGTCATTAAACTGACTGTACCTTACATTTGTTTCATTCGGGAGCATACAGGCAGGAAACCAGACTGATTATTTCCACTCATTAACACTACCATCTGTCAACCAAAGGAGAGCACAGAGTTTTGAATATTTTTTATATTTTTAATTATAACTGATCCTGAGTAGATTAAGTTTACAAGAATTTGGCCTTAGGTATGTTGACCATTATTTAGATCCGGTAAGGGAAGGGCCCCTGGTAAGCTAGTCTGGTAGCAAAAACCCTTTTCATACGGGACCAGCTACCAGACTTGGAGACTGGTCTGGCAGTTATACCCAGCAAGAAATTAGACCGAGCGGTACCCCCCCAACATGTCCAATCCCTATACACATTCCAGACTATTGTTACTTAACACATCCCCCCCCAAGATGTCTGAAAGGAATTCCCCAGATTCCTGCGAGACAATGACCAACACAAAGCAGGGGGGGGCTCTCTCCATCTCATACCTTGCTGCATATGCTGGCAGTTGGATCAAACACTCATCCATCCTGGAGTCTATTATTTGTAGTTTGACTCCACAATCTAGCCCAGAAGAAACCCCCTTCAGTTTTTTTGCACTCAACACTAAACAATAGAAACCCTTAGATAAGTCTTGAATAGAAACCCTTCCCAAGCATTGCATTAAAGCCACCGTCCACCTGGAACCATACACTGCCCAGGTGTTGGCCAGGAGTGTATCTTTTGTGTAACAATGGAGCCTCCCTCACCTTCACATCAAAGCCCCTGTGGTTTTGCAAACAATGCCCTTAAACCAACACATTTGTCAATACTTTGCTAGCCCCAGGATTGTTATGCATGTACACTTTCTATGATATATTTGCTTGTGAGCTATATTCTTTTGGTTTTAACACCTTCTGAATGAAAAATGATGTCTGAGGTCACTGAAAAAAATGATCTCAAATACCTTTTAAAACCCCGAGGTAAATTTGTCATTCCTGGATATAAATGAATTGATTTGGGTTTTTGTGCCATCAAAAATAATTATTGAATATAAGGAATCTACCACTTAAAACATCTCCAAAAGCCACTCTGGGGGCTTGTAGTGTTTCCTGTTTATGCACATGTATGCGTGAGCAAGACTTGGGAACTTTCGTAGGTTCAAAATCCGGATAAATTTGAATTTTTTATCCACTATGGTTTGAGTTATCAAATGTATAGAATGTATAAACTTTTTCCCACCATAGTACCTAACACATATATTAAGAGTCATTCTGTCCATGTTTGGTTTAATGGAAGTTGAAAAGAGTTAGTGCTTCTTTTCATTGAAAGGTACATGTACATGTATGTCCTTCGAACGAAGGCATGTCCGAAAACTGCCGATCTTGCACACTTAATACATACGATGGTCCACCCGGCAGTCAGAACAGAAAGGTACTCATCCGAAAATAATGTTCAGCTAAAAGAATTTTGGACCAAGCCCAATCCAGAGCACATTGATGCAGCACTGGCACTGCATGCCGTAGGAAGTTAAACGTTCTTTGTTTTCCTGTTTATAAAACTTCAAACTGCCCATGAGTTAATAGTCGAAACAATCCAATCCACCTCGAGCCAGCAGCAGGAATTAATACTTCGGCCAACTCTTACTAGTAGGCTTTAATCTGGTATTAAAGTCTTCTTTTGTTCAGCTCTTGCTGTTCTCTGAGGGGCAATAAACTGATGCACCTCACTGACTTCAAAGGGCACAGGTCAGAACACCTGTGTACTGGACTAGGGCAGGCTGAATACCAGCCTGGCTTAATATCGGACTGGGTAGGGTCGAGCCCTTTCCATACTGGAACTAAATGATCACTGTCCCTTAATTATGTCCTTACAATTACAAATACAGAGGTCTGAAGTTCTAGCAGTTGCCTGTAAAAATTGTACATCTTTAGTTTGCCAAAGTGTTCCTGTCAAAAACTGTGGATATCCTCTAATAAGACTGCACAGATACAATTGTCTCTACTTGTCATGTTCTTACTATTACAACTAATAAAGAATTATCAATTGAGAATAAATTACTTTTTTCCCTAGGACTGGTCAGGACTTGGCCCTTTAATGATCTCTAGTCGCAGAGCTAAACTGCAGTGCATCCAACGACTCACAGAAAAACAAAACTTTCTTAAACTTGCCATCAAGCCAGGTGAGCATCTTACATTTTCTGCAATAGGTTTGAAGTTGGTTTGATCATTGTGCGATTTACATGTAGCTTTTTATTTATAGTCATTTGCAAACGTTTAAGATCACATGGACATTTTTTGATATTTTTGTTAGGCTGGACCTGCATCATATTGTCTCATTGAATGATTACATAACATTTTTACTGTAGTCCATAACATCAAAGTCGTGCTATGAGCCCATTTTAACGAAATATTTTGCAAAGGTAGGTCTTGTATGGCATTTTGTCTGTAGTGCTTGGTGGGTAAAAAAGTCAGTCTGAATCATCAGAAAAAGAGGAAGGCACACTCCATATAAGACTGAAAATTTCAAATCATAAGATGAAGTCAAATATTTGTTAAACCAAGATGTTAAGATTACGCATTGAAATTAAATATAAGTTGCCATTATTATTTAATTTAAGTTTGGTTTTTCTTATGATTAATGCATTATGTATGTGTGATTCTAAACTTTTCCAAATGACTGAAACTACCTCAAGAATATGTACTGTGTAGTGTTCTGCTTTTTTTGGACAAATACCATGGAAACGTTCACAACTGTCCACTGTATTTGTGAGACTGTAAACTCAAACATTGTTTTTGATAGATCTGCAAGAAGCTATTGGTTGTCAGAAGTCCTTAGAACTCCTTGATAGATGGTCTGGATGTCATCTTGATTCTAAGAAGGATCCTATCAACATATGGGATGATGTTGTCTCTAACAGGTAGGGAATTGGGTTCATTGTTCTTTTTTCTCTCAATTTGAAAACAGAAAACAAGTCACTCTTCGTTCCTCCATTTGGAAATGAAATTAAAAACAAAACATTTCTCATTTTATTTACAAGATGAAGAACGACTATTTTTTAAATGTTAAAACATGTAATATGATAATTTTAAATGCACTTTTAGGAGAAATGGAAATAGTTCCATTTTCATTTTGTAGCATGAAATACATCTTTGACTGTCAAATTACATGAATTAAACATGGTTTAAGTAGAGGGTTGCAAAGAATTTGTTGCATAGTACAAGAATTCTTCCTATGCTTAAAATATCCAAACCTGGCCCACACTTTTTGAACACATTTCGGGCGTCGCACGCTCCACTCCATGGGCGTGAAGGGGCATGTCCTTGGCGTGGTTCCGTTGTGCTCCGGTGGTGCGGTGATTGTGTTGACGGATGGTGGGGAGCTAGAACCAGGGGATGTCAATGCCGCTGCCTCTCTTGATGCTGTGTCGGGTGAGGCGGATGTGGATGGCCTCCTTGATGCGTCTGGTGTACCAATGATGGTCCTGGTCCACGCACGGCATGCCTTCCCAGTTAGGGTGGTGACCAGCTCCCCAGGTGTGTTCGGCTACCGCTGACGAATCCACACGGGAGAGTCTCATGTCGTGCTGGTGCTCCTCTATTCTTTCACTGACGGGTCTGCCAGTTTCGCCGACATACACCTTGTCGCAGTCACCGCACAGTATCCTGTACACTACTCCTCCACGTCTTTCAGGTGGAATAGGATCCTTAGGACGCACTGGTTGGCTCCTTAAGGTGGTGGACAATTGGAACACGGTGCGGACACCGTGGTCCTCCAGGATCCTCTTTAGCCATCCAGAGATACTGTCCATGAAGGGAAGAACGGTGAAGGCCTTGTACTCCGGTCGCTCCGCTTCGGTGCTGGTCTTGGATCTTGATGACTGCCAGATGAATGATGTTGGATACCCGTTCGCCACGAGGGCAGTGGTGACTCAGTGTCTCTCGGCGGCTGTGCAGCGTGGTCTGGTGACTAGGCTTGAGGCGCGGTCATGGAGGCACTTGGCCACACCCCTTTTGACGGACTCTCGGTGGTGTGAGTCAAAAGCCAGATACTGGTCAGTGTGAGTGGGCTTGCGGTACACGGTGCCAGTCAGGCTGCCGTCAGGTTCCCTGTGGACCATGGTGTCCTGGAAGGCGATGCTGCTGTCCTGCTCGATCTCGATGGTGAACCGAATGCTGGGCTTGAGGCTGTTCAGGTGGTTGAGTAGATAGCTGGCTTGATCCCGTGGTGCAATGACAAAGGTGTCATCAACGTACCGCTTCCACAGGGTAGGACGGCAGTCGGGTGGGCAACTCTGCAGGGCTTCCTCCTCGAATGCTTCCATGTAGAGATTGGCAATGACCTCTGACACCGGACTACCCATGGCTGCCCCGTCTGTCTGCTCGTAGTACACTCCACTGGAAATACGGAGCGCAGGACAAACTCTAGCAGGGAGACGATCTTGGTGGGGGAGAGCGGTGTCCGGTCAGGCAACTCAGGGTCTCCCTCCAGGCGACGAAGGGCCACACAGCAAGCGTCATCTATGGGGACGTTGGTAAACAACGAATCAAGGTCAAAGGAAATCAATGCCTCGTGGCTGTCGATGTGCTGCCCGCAGAGGAACTCTGCGAAGGCAAAACGTGATGGACATGGGAGTGTTGCATCTAAAAGCAGAAGGGTGATCCTAGAAACTGATGCCATACTTGAAGTATGCAGTGGCTGCTTACACAATAGATACAACAGGAAACCAGTCTACCATACTACAAACTACATGCAGGCATCCAGTAATACAAAAGTCAGATTAAAGTAGAAGTTCAGAGAAGTTATTTTCCCTTTTTATCATTTTAAACATGCAAAATTAGAAGCAAATTTTTTTTTCTTGCTTTTGTTTCAATTAGAAAAAGGAAATGCATCTTATTTCAATTTTTAAAATGTAGTTTAAACTTAAAATTGAAAAAAGAACAAAAAAAATTTACACGGACCTTCCTCACATTCCGTGCAGTTTCAGATTGATATCTGCCTTTAAATTCTTCTTAAGTTCATGCCACCGCATGTACCTTTATGCTTAATGAAGTCTTAATGTTGTACTTCTATCAGGCTGCTATACATGGACAAACTTGGCAGTCGATTCATTCGCTCAGAATCTCAGCAAGCTGGGGAAGAGGAGACAGCGCTTGAGAAGAGAATTTTACGAGAGAGACTGTGGCTAGAGCTCAAGATGGCAGACAGTGCCTGTCAACAGGTAAGGCTATGGCTGGGGCTGAGGATGGCAGACAGTGCCTGTCAGCAGGTAAGGCTATGGCTATATATTGCCTCTACACAAGGTTAAATGTCAGTTATATGTGTAATGTTTATCTTCAAAACACATGGTTGTCTATACTTGAAAATCTCACAACTTGGAATGACAGAAGTGGTCCCCCAAGAACACTGTCTGTGCCATTTGAATACTTCACTAATGTTAATTCTCATGCAGAATATTTTACCTCATATTATGCATGCAGACTTGAGCAGCCTGAATTGCAACTTGAAGCAGTATCATACCAAATATTCTTTACTTTAATTTGATAAATTTGCTTTTGTTTTGCATGTTTCTGTGTTTGAGTAGGGAAACTTTAGTGTCGCTCAAAAGCATCTGAAGGCAACTCATGGCAGTCTGTCAGCACACGAAGATCTCAAGCCTAAGTGGACACATTCCTATGTTCAAATGAATCAACAGAAGATACTTACAATTGAACTGAAGGAGCAAGTCATGACTCTTCTGACAACCTTTGACCCACTTGGTTTGTTCAAAACAAAGTTTTGTACTAGTTAGTTTAGTTACGCATTTCTTCTATAGTCTCAAATGAACATGACTTGCAGCGTTCAATTTTGGAGTCATATTCTGCCATTAAATTTCTTTCCACCCTGATTTCATAGATTCACCTTTTAAAGTTCAAAATAGCCATCAAAACACTATTGTTCTTTTCCTGTTTTACCTTTGACTTCAGACTGTTTCCTTTGAAGCTTTGGAAAATACTGCTTATGTGTAAATAAAGCATATATTGAAGCTACATGTACATGTAGTTATTCAACAGTTTGGCTTTTCAAAATGCATTAAATAGCCATGAAGTTTATCTTTCATATTTTGTTTGTGTTTCAGCCAAGTTATCCAATACACCAGCCTTGACTGGAGACTACTGTCTTACCAGACATCATCATACACTGACCAGCAAGTCTTATGATCTTGTCGCCATTGCAATTCAGAAAGGAGGTAAGTCGTCCAGTATTTAATAGCTTCAGGTTTGTTTGATTTCTGAGGGTTTGTAATAAACCAAGTGTATTTGGTTGTTATTTTCCTGTGTAGGGGCAGACATCCTCA